TGCCAGAGGATTAATCGGGATGGCCCCTGACAAATCAGTACAAGGTATACCTTTGCATTCAGGAAGTCCCAGATTCAATCTGGCGTCTCCAAGAGAGCCTGGGATGACCCTTGTCTGAAACCTTAGAACAGAGCTTTCCAAAGTTTTCATGTTGGTGACCTGCTTTTTAGACATGCATCCTTTCGCAACACGATAGGTCAGTTTTACTAGCAAACCAAAAGTTAAACTAACCCCTTATAAGTTTTCATACAGTACACACACACACAAACGTTTCATATCTTTATAAACAAGTTTTTTTATTTTTTCCTTTACACTTCTTATGTACTATACTTCATTATTTTATAGTATCCTCTATATCTGCTCCATGTGGTTCATCACAAACATCATTGTTGACAGATTTTATTTTCCTAATTAAAAGCTTATCCATTTTAGTGGTAATTGCTGCAACTCAATCAACAAATTGTACAAATTTAAAAAGTTATAATATTAAACTTAACCAACACCAGCATTCCACTTCTGTAATGATTAAACCTCTCTGGATGCTTTTGAATAGAGACTGGATGGCCATTCATGGGTGTGTTGATTGTGCATTCCTGCCTGGCTAAAGGGGGTTGGACTAGATGCCCTTTGGAAAGTCTCTTTGAACCCTGATAAAGTATAGACTGCCTGGAAGTCCAGTGGAGTCTCCTTCTCTGGCGGTTTTGAACTGGGGTTAGAATGGCTGTCTGTTGGGAGGACTTTGACTACATCTTCCTGCCTGGCTGAAGGGAGTTGGATTGGATGACCCTTGAGGTTCCCTTCCAACTCTAGGATTCTACCACAAACTAAACACGAGTCAATACTGTGATGCAGCAGCTTAAATGTGTCTGTGTCTTCCTTCCTAAAAGGAAGAGGTTTGGGTTAGGTGGCTCCTGGGAGGTTAACTTCTGACTATGAACTTTCAAGGTAGAAACATCAAGATGGAATAGGTGGTAGTGGAGCCTCCTTCTCTTGAGGTATTGAAGCAGGGGCTTGATGGCCATTTGTCATGGAGATTTGGATTGTGTACTGGATAACTTTTTGAGGTCCCTTCCAACTCTATGGTGCTATGATTCTACAGTTATATCACTGGATGGCATTCTGTTGGGAGGGCTTGGATTGTGCCTTCCTGCCTTGCAGAAGGGGGTTGGGCTCTGGCACCTCCAAGGTGGGCAATGCACACCTTTGCTTGTAGCGTGTGTTGCATGTGACACACAGGTTGGCTACAGCTGACACACTTGTGTGTCACGACACACAGTTTGGAAAGCTCTGCCTTAGAGGGTACCAGTGTAGACGGTATTGAGCTGGAAGAGTTAGTAGTCCAATCTGCTTCAAGTTATTGTCTTTTATGTGTGCTACAAGACCTTTTTGCATTTTGCTAGTGAGCAAAAGCTTGACTTGGAGAGAAATGTGTTAATGCTAGGATATTTATTTACCTCTATTTATTTAGGGAGTTTGTGGTTTGCTTTTGTCAAAATGGGACACAAAATCTATGAAGTCTCACCTGCTGCCTTCACAATGAAATTTACAAACTTAAACGCCAAACTTGCAGGCACCTGGTGTTTCCTTTGGTCGGTCTCTTTCTTGCTGATGTTTTCTTTTCCGCTTTTTTTTCTCCTGGATACTTTCCAACATGCGGTATGTGACCCTATGGTGTGCCCCATTTTCCTCAAAGGACCCCCCCCCCCATTAATAACTGGGAGGGATGGGAAAATAGATGTTTCACAAGGAATGACTAAGATAACAGCATCGCTTAAGAAGTTATGTTTTTATTTGATTTTATATACAGCCAGTCTTGCATGTTTGTGGTGTAAGATGGCTTGCAACATAATGAAAGTGTCCTATAAAAACACACTCCATTAAACATATTAAAATAAAAGTTACATAAATTATGATACAAAACACCTAGTAAAACAGTTTGAAGTATAACATACTAATAATATTATGCAATCAAATATTTAAAAGGTCAATACCCCCCTTTTAAAATGTCAGATGTCAGTTGTTAAAGACTTGTCTGATCAGGGCAATCTTTGCCTGCCTGAAAAAGAAAAGAAGGAAGGCAGAAAGGAAGTTAGTCTTACATTATTTGGAAGGATGTTCCATAATCCAGGAATGCCAATCTGGAACACAAAGGTGTTGCCTTTGTGACATTTTGTCTCTTTAGTACCATTCTAACCTCTCACATTTCTTTTTAGGGAGTCATTATAGCCTCTGTAACATATAAGTGTGCCATCATGTTTGTTACTTTGCAGAACTGTAGACTGTTTGGATAAAGACAGTTTTAAGATTTAGAAAACTTTGCAGTTTTCTAAATCTAAATCAGATGCCTAAAACTTTGCAGTCCAAATATGCAGGAACATTTTGAATAGGAAGGAAGTGGAGAGTGATCAAAAATAAATAAACGGCTTTTTTACTTCACAGTATAGGCATACCTTTTAGAATGTCTTCTTATACCTGTCTAGCCCCTCCGTTTTCCATCATCCTCTGTTGAGCAGTGTGATCAGAGAAATGGTGAAACATATTTTCAGTGTCAGATTTCAAAAGCATCTTCAAGGAGCAATGCAATGTACCTTAAGGAAATGTGGGATTCTGCTGTAGCCAATCCTACTGTAGCTGTACGAACCTGCATACAACAGGAAAGGGAAACAACAGCTCCCTTCAGAAGTTGTATTGAGAAGAAAGAGAAGGAAAGCTTAAGGGTGTTGGACATGTTCAGCTTGGTGAAAAGAAAGTTGAGGGTGATATAAATGCATTTTTAAATATCGAAGGGGCTGTCACAGAGAGGAGGGGGGAGAGTTGTTCTTTGCTGCCCAGAGAGTACGGCCTAATGGTTTTAAGGTATAGGAGAACAGATTATATATTCGAAGGAACCTCTGGACAGTAAAATGGTTCAACAATGGAAACAATTGCCTAAAAAGGTGATGGGGGTCTCCTTCTCTGGATATCTTCAAAAAGAGCTAGAGAGTTAGAAAAAACTTCAGCTGGAATTCTTGCACTGAGAAGGGAGATCAGACTTAGTGGGCAATGGGGCACCGTCCAACTCTATCACTCTATGACATTAGCCCTTCTCTTGGGGGGCAATGACAGGAATATGTAGTGGATTCACCTATCACCTTGTAACAGAGGCCCCTTCTACACTACCATATAATCTTGATTATCAAAGCAGATAATCTACATTATCTGTTTTGAACTGGATTATATTAGTCTACACTGCCATATAATCCAGTTCAAAGCAGATAATCTGGATTTTATATGGTAGAGTAGACAGGAAAACAACCCCAACCCTGTTCATTCTATTTCTGTATTCTAGAACATCTGGTTTCCAGGTGCCAACTTTATTGGCTCCAGGCACGAGACCCTTCTACTCTAAATTTTGTTTATATACGCATTCATTTATTTCTCAAAACATTCATGGTTAAAAAACATCATCCAAGAACAGTTTGGAAATTATTTCCATATTTTAATCTGGATGCATAGTGTGTTGGAAATTTTAATTGCAGCTTTCTACTCCCTGATCATGACAAAATTATCTATCCTTTTTCCTTACTAGATTGTATTAACAAAGAAACCAGATGGTGTGAGAATAAATACAGAGGATCTCAATATGGTGATGTAATTTAGCACCATTCTTTTTCCACTTGAGGATTACGCTCAGTAACAGAAGGACTAGAAACATCTAATAAGACACAATACTTTTGTTTGCTTTATTGTCTTCAGCCCAGATAGCATATCCAGATACAGTGACAAAAAGCACTGCAATTCTCTCTAGGATAACAGATGTAATGAGTAGGACTGTGACCCTCGGTGTGTTCTCCCTGTCTCATGTCCTACCTTGTATTTTTATTTAAATGCATTTGTTTCATGAAACACAGTAGATGAATTTCCTTATGAAGAAAATTTGCAATGTGCCCTTCATATGACTATAAATGATGAAACTTCCTAGTCACCCCAAAAAAACATACGTAAGCGCTAAATCTGAATACCTGAACTATGCTTAAAAGAGCGGAACATGATGTGTAAAGCATTGTCTTGAATGTCTATCCCACCTTTCTATCAAGATGAGATTTATGGTGTCTTTCACTTCCTTAACTATGGGCCCGAAGTGGCGAATGCTTCACGTGACCTATATGCCAAGAGGGGAGCCATAACACATTCTCACTAGATAGGCAATTCCCAAACATCCCCAAAGACCCCCATGAAGATAACTTAACACAAAAGACACAGATTTTGCACATATATCTAAACAATATCTGGTCAATGCAGTCTGCACATTTAGGCTGTATTTGAATGATATAGATCTACATAGGCCAATTTGGCCAATGAACCAAGTGTGCTTGCCCATTTCTATGCCCACCTCTTTAGTCAAGCCAAGTGTAAAGTATTATTTCTCAAAAGAGTCACAATTGTTGTTTTCCTTAGGTCTCATAGAAAGTCCTCCTGCTTGAAAATTGCAAAGTAGGAAATAATTTCAATGATGTATGCTTAAAACTATAAGAGAACACAGAAGTACAGGCTAGTGGTAATAATGCTGAAATGGCATAATTTGAGCACTAGAGGAAAACCATATTCTGGTTCAGTGGGCAGCAAGTGTTCAGAAGTACCAAACACATTTGGGGTGGGCTAGAATGCCCTATGAGGGAGAGAGGAGCATAAAGGACATCCTGGTGAGCAGAGTTGCTAGGTGTCCCAGATTATAAGGGACAGTCCCATATTTAAATAAATGCCCTGCATCCTGTTACATCCCAGGCCAGGGCGTCAATTGCCCTGTATTTCGGCCAATCTGAGCATTCCAGTAGAAGTGGATCCAGGTCTATCCAGCCTCTCCTGCTTCCCCACAAAGTCTGAGGCATCGTCTTCTTGTTTTCTTCTGGGTGCCCAGGTGAAGCGGGCTCCACTCCAGATGGCTTGGGCGGGGGGGGGGGGCTCCCTCTCCTGCAGGCCCATCTGATCCCTCCTCTTCCCCTTTTTGTATTTCTCTGGAGGCCGGGTGCATGTACTGCCTGGATGCGCATTGCTTCGCCGTGAGGGGTGTCGGGGCCAGGAAGGAACCCCCTTGCCACTTCTCTTTCCAGACTGTCCCTTACTTTCACCTTCAACACCTGACAACCATGCTGGTGAGGACCAAAAATATTGAGGGGCGGTGAAATGCTGACTGACTCTTCAGAGAGGGATGGGAAAACTGGGCAAAAGAAAGGGGAGAAGTGGAGTATCCTGAACCTCAAACAGAAAGACATTGCAGCCTTTTGTTTCAGCCTCACTTTTGTGAATGACTTTTGCCTCAGGTTTTTTCATGGACTTCTGTGGATATAAATCAACTTCTTCACCTGCAGCATCTGAAGAAATGGGTTTATATCCATAGAAGCACATGTTAAGATAAAACCAATTAATCTTAAAACTGCTACCCCATTTTTTCTGCTGCTACTTCCAACTCTCCTTTCAAGCTGTAAGGTACTTCATTGTTTGAAAGGCAGGAGCTTAATAGATGACTGTATCTACTCATGCATAAATCAACCTCATAGCCACCTTGCTAAGAGAAGGAATGTATCTATCAACCTCCCTACCCATACATGCATACATACAGAGATGGATAGAGATATGGATGGATGGGTGAATGGATGGATGGATGGATGGATGGATGGATAGATAGATAGATAGATAGATAGATAGATAGATAGATAGATAGATATAGATAGATAGGAGGTAAGCTACAGTACTTACATTGACTCATGGATCTAGAATTATAGATATACAGTAGTTTCACTTCCCTCAATGCTCTCTGTCTAGTTAGAAAGAGAGGAACCTTCAATTGGTCAGGTTAGTTTGGAACATTGACAATGATCTGGGATTGGAGACGTCATAGGTACGAAGTAGTGCTTTGCAAGATTTGACATGTTTTCTCATACAAATGTGTTTATTTGATAATTTGATTTTATTCTGTACAATAACATTTGGTATGTTATAAGGTTTCTATGGCTTTAAAAACATAAATTAAATATATGTTATAAAATAAACTAAAACAGAGAAGATATTAATCTCCCAGAACCTATCATTGAATTAATATGTAATCATATCACTTTTCAGATTTCAGAGATTTGTTAGTATGTTTTCTTGTCTTTCTGAAGTCAGCCTTGACATATCTCAATTGAGTAACCAAAATAATTAATTAAGCACTTTGATATATTTATAACTGGATTTGTGATTTGGCTCTAAATCTGTTTGGACGTGTTTGTTTTCAACAGGTGTCATGTACAGTAAATGAGGAATGAATGACGTGACTCAAAGCCAGTCGTAGGTTATCACTGATATTGCAGACGTCCCTGTTGCCAATATCAGCAGAAAGGCTTAATAGGTGAAGTAAGCCTTTCTCTTGGTTGCACCTCTGCTCTCATGTTGGAGTTGGGAGGGGAGGTCTTTTGCCTTGGCCCTTTTTAGCAGCACTAGCTGTATAATGAGCATAGTTACAGGCAAAACATTTAAAGGAACACTATGATAGTCAGGTATGCTTCCCAATGTTCCAAGCTTGACTAATAGCTATGGTGACAATTTGCAAGTGACTTGAGTGCAAAGAACCTCTGTTATTCCTTCATTTCAAATGTTCCTCCCTAAATCCTAGGAGCTAGGTCATGGGAAGCATGCACATGTACCTAGAAGAAAATCAGACCTAACTAATACTTTACCCCATATTAGACCATTCGATAAACTCTGTATTGACTTAATATTAATACTGAAATATAGTAATTAAAAGCAATAAAGGCAACATAATATAACACAGTTTTACTATATTATACATGTATTTTATTTATTTAAAATATTATTTCTTCATTTTTTGCTAGTTGCTTGTTATTTGAATTCCAGTTAACTGAGAGTCTACTGTTCCTATATAGAAGGATTAAGTAAAAAAAAAAACCTGAATATTTTGGCAAAATATTTGCCGTAAATGGACCAGTGTCTCTTTAATTTGAGTACTGCACATGTACAATTACTATAATGAATATTCAATTAACCTTATAGTCTAAAGCTTATTTGCTCAAAAGGAAATCTTATTGAAGTGAGTGGAATTTTCATTCAAGCCGCCATCCTTGATTGTTGATTGTTTAAGAAGTTCCAAACTAAAACAGTTTGGAGTTCTCTTATATTTTTACAATCAGTTATCTTTTGGACTTCATCAGATGTTTTCAAGGCTCTATTTCCATGTGCTTAGGAAACTAAGTCACACGGAGGCCATTATAAAGGCTCCGTAGATGGCACCACTAATATAACTTGACAGGGGCAAACAAATCCCATCAACTGTCCCTCCAAAAAATAAAGAATTCACTGGCACCAATATAAAGGTTATGAGGGGATGTCTCTCTAATTAACGTCCGCTGCCATCAATACTGAAATGTACAGGAACACCCTAGCTGTTTAAAATATTTAAAATGCGTTTTAAGACCACCAAGCACTGTGTCTTCTTTTCCTTCTTTAAAGGAAAACAGTTGAGGTTATTTGAAAAGGGACTATAGCCACAAAAGGCACACTTGACTCAGGCTTTTTTTTGAGTTTTAAAATAAACAAGGAAAGTTTATTGATRAAAAAAAATACAGAAGAGAAGTAARTGCTGKTTRRAATCTTGGMKGTTACAKAGAAATTCTGGTTTGTSTTSMAAGCGTAAYGGTTACATGTAAATGGYTCTTTCTTTGTTACAGAHAYARRKATTTTTCTTCYCTTTAACAMCAAGTACWCTTGACAGGARCTGAMTCTCTGTCAAGATACAACTGTRKYKTAGCTACCCTAAACTGARGCCTAGCTAACTACAAAAACCAGCTATCTCTCCCTGATAGCTATTCTAGTTTGCTACAGCTTCCTTTGCTGGCAAACCTAAGGCAAACTGCCTTCTTAGCTAATCTCAAACACACGAACTCCTAAACTACCTTCCTACTCTAATTGCTATCACCAACAGACTCCCTCAAAAAGCCTCTTTCTTTCCCTCCAAACCTTGCTAAACTCCGCCCCCTTTCTAAACCAATCCCGGCTGTTCTAATGCTAACTCAGGCCTAGGACACTCCCCCTCTCTAAAATGGTGTTTTCCCTGAACTAAAATGGCTCCTGCTGCCCTCTGCCAGGCCTTCTAAAGCTGCAACTAACTGGCCTGCTTCTCCTAGGCCCTGCCATCCAGGCTGGAAAGGTAAGGGATCTTTACAGCCATCACATGAAATAAAGGCACTTCCGATGGGACTCTGTGGATCTCCATTTCCTAAGCACATGGAAATGGAGCCTGAAGGCTGGAAAAAACAAAGGAAAATGGGAGAGAAGATGGGGAAAGGGACAGAAAGGAAGTGGGTTGGCTGCCCATCCCAGAAGATGGGGAAAGGCAGTAGGGAACAGGATAAGACAATTCCCTCCACTTTCCCCCCACCTGTTTGATGAAGTCCCTAGTGTCTTAGGGATATACATTATAGACAATATATTATCAGTATAGTGCTACGTTTCTGGATATACTTATCTTTTATTTCTAGTTTCTGCTGAGTTCTGTTTTTTTTAAAAAAAATAGGCATAGAAATATATAGCATTTTTTCTTCCTTTTAGATTAGGAACAGTTTTGTGTTTTGCATTATGTGCTCCATAGCCTAACTGCAATGATTTTAGTAGTACAAGTATGTGCCATGAGGACTATTGCCGTACACAGATGAATGTATGTGTTTTCCTTTCCATTCCATCTGCTCTTACTACCATCATTTAAACCCCAATGGCAAGTCTCTGTTATTTCATAAAGTCCCAGGGTAACCGTTCAATGGCACCTGGTTACACTAAAACTAATTCAGTTATCCTTTCTGTAGCAACAAAACTTTAACAACACCCTGAGGGTTTGAAACCTAAGAAAGGTGTCGAGAAAAGTTTGTGCTGTTAATTTTATGGTTTGTTTTCACCTTAACACTCCAAAAGACAGTATTCTTAATCCTCATCAGCTATGTGATTCTCAACAGTAAAGTGCATGATACAAGAAATACCTCTTACGATGTATTTCTGTACACTTTTGACCCTTCTTTGTATCATTTATAAAGAAGCATGTTTTTTTTTCTAATGGCCCACCTCTAAATATGTTGGGGGGGGGGGTCAAGCCTATTGTAATGAATGCAGTTCTTTGCAAATTAACAGTGCTTAGAGACAAGATGCCCTGTGTGTTAACCTGAATTGCTTTCACGGCATTAACTTAAATAGTTACTACTTAACACTTCAATAAAGCCACGAACAAATGTATGTTCTGTTATTTAAAACCTATTGTTAAATGTAGAAATGGATAGATCAACTTAGAAAGTGCTAAGAGTGGAAAGAGCATGGCTTCCTCTCAGGAGAAGAAAGGGTAGCTAGAATGATGCTATAGTATTAGGCTGGTTTAGTGGTTTTGGTGGTGGACTAGGAGAATGTCCATGAAATCCCATTAGGTGTGACCCTTGGGTAAGTCACATTATCTCAGCCTCAGAGGAAAGCAAGCTCCCAAGAAAAGCTATGGTAGGTTCATCTTAGGGTGAGTGGGTTTACACAGCTGAGCAGGGATTCAGACCCTGGTCTCCAGGCTGACTCTCTGCAAATCTTACCTTGAACAAAATTCACCTAAACCCATTGGTATTGATCTATATTTAATCATACACAGAGCAGAGCAATTAAGACCAGAGAGTCTTAAATCAGTCATAATTTATTTTAAGCCCCATTGATTTCAATGGGCTCAAACTAGATTTGACAAAACCTTGTTCCAATTAGACACATCTGTCTACATAGATTTGGGCCTTAAAAGTTTGACATACATGTATTTTCTAAATCTGATATTTTTCTTGATGAAGTGGCTTAAACGTTGAATAGAATCACTGGAGTAAGCAATAGAAATACCTTCTTCTTTAAAGCCTCCATCTATTATTTATTAATTATTTATTTACACGAATCCAAATCAAGAATAAAATCATGTAAAATCTCATCAAGCAAAGTAACTCAGTGTTGCCTATTATTGAAAATTGTGTAACATTTGTTTCAACATGATCATCCCATTGACTGATATGAAGTAATGGATTCTGAACCTGATTTGTTCTCCTTTGTAGAGCCAAGCTGAGGCCCATTACAAAGGAAGTAAACATGCCAAGAAGGTCAAAGCGTTAGAAGCAACGAAAAATAAACCAAAACCTGGTGCTTCCAAGGACAGCGCAAAGGCTAATGTGAATGGCTCTACTACTTCAGTCGTGACCATCATCACTGACAAATCAGGTCTAAGATTTTTTCCTTCTTTTTTGTTCCTGGCTTCTCTGTCTTGCTCTGTTTGCAATTTTGACTGCATGGTTTTTGTCCATTACAGTGTTAGTCAGTGCCTTGTAATAATAATGGATGCTTTCTTAAGTGGTTAATAATACTTAGTACAGAATACATATTCTTCCACTTATTCCAAGTTTCGGATTGCCAAAGAAGCAAATGGTAAGCCGTATTTCACTCTCCTATGGTATTAGATTTCAAAAAATGTAGGAATTAAGTTGCAAAACTCTTATCTGCAAGTTCTGTTTATCATCTTCTGTTCTCAGTACTTCAGCATGGGTTGAATGTGCAATATAATACGATCTGTTAGCTTTGCAAAGATCTTGTTTCTGAAGTTGGAAAGAGACTAGTGAAACCACTGATGCTTTATTCCCACGTGGTGTGATTGGTTTTTCCGGTTTCAAATTTAGTGTATACTTTGGTTTGATGAGCAATGATGGGCAAAGAAGAGATCACCTCACAGGGATGTGAGGGTTGAGTGACTCCCTTATATGTTATGATCTACCATCAAAATTAGGATTGTTTTATTTAAAAAAGTAAAGTCATATATTACTCTTGTTTCCTTCTAGCCCTGTGGCGTATACTTCTAAATTATAGTATCAAACACATCCTTCCTTGTTGTCTGTGAAATGTATGTTCTCCATTGTGTCCATGTCATGAACTTACTTATCCTGTCATTGATATTGAAAAGGAAGATATAAACTTTTAAATTCACATCAGTCGCATGTGTTTAAATGAGCTAATCGTTTTATCACAGTGATTTGAAGCTGGGAAATAGAGCCTCAGGAGTTAACTAGAAGTTCTCAGGTGTCTCCTGTTTTCATCCTGGAATATGTAATCAATTTTAGAATAAGATCCAACTTTGGTATGAGGTGATGGATGAGAAGGCATCCAAAATCCATTCCAAAACTAAAATTATTTCTTGCTTAATCTGCAGTGAATTTCCTACTGCCACAACATATAGACGTGTAGCTAGCTATTGAGAAGTCAATATACTCTTGATACGATTAGTGGAAGAGGGAAGGATATTGGTTCTGATCTATTGTTAGCATAGACCCAACAATGGTACATTCACTTATGACCTCATCACATTGAGATGGGAAAGCATGGTTGACCGACCTTTTAGCATAGAAAATCACCCCTCTAGATCAGTGGTTCTCAGCTTGTGGGTCCCCACATGTTTTGGCCTACAACTACTAGAAATCCCAGTCAATTTACCAGCTGTTAGGATTTCTGGGAGTTGAAGGCCAAAACATCTGGGGACCCACAGGTTGAGAACCACCGCTCTAGATGGTCAACTGTCCCGTTTTAAGTTCTGCCTCCCATTCACACTCACACATGGAAACATAAGAGCTGGCAATACATTCATCTTACATTCATCACACAGTCAGTATTACTTTCTTTAAAAATTGGGGAACATTTCAATATCCACAGACCGGAAAATCTCTTGACCAGCCCAAAGCCCCTTACATTAAAGGAGACTGGCACCAGTTTAAAACCTCATCTTTCCATGAGATAAAATTGCCTGGCTCCAAACCCCATATGATAAAAGAGACAGTGCTCCAATTTAAAATTATTTTTTTCTATGGGATAAAATTGTGCTGCTCCAAACCCCAAATGATACAAGAGACTGCTGACGGGCAGGCAATGAAACAGGATGGGAAACTTTGATGGTTCCCATCCCACCTGCTTTTCAGCTGGAGTAAAGCATGGTGGGAGCTCTGAACAAAATTGCTGGCCTATGTTTAGATTTCCCTCCCTTAATTATATTTCTGCCAGTTTTCAACTCTGGAAGTAATTTAATATCATGTGATAAGCACCATGCCTCTCCATGCTTGAAAAGAAGCAGAGGTGTCCTACGACAGGGAGATTTCTCAATGTGATGAGGTCATAAATGTTAATTTTACAATAATCTGCAAAGCTGCCCGCAGATGATCAATGCTGTCAAGGTTAATGGGCTCCCACTCTTCCTCTGGATAGAGAAGAGCAGGCAGAACTGAATCTTTCTTACAAGTGACAAAAAAAGTGAGCTGAGGTAACAAAGCCTTTAGTCTGATCTGTATCTGGCAGCCTGGCATGTAGCCCTGAGCGCTAGATGCCAGGAATAATATACAAAGCTCTCATCTAGATGTGTGTTTCCTCAGAAATTGAAGAAGTATATATGGTATGTATTACTTATGCACATATACACCTGTCTTTCACTGGGTCAGTAAGCAACTGTAATTCAAGATAACGCGAAAGAAGATGGGCCATTTTCTTCCTTAAACTGGAGTCCTGGGATTACCCTCTTGGAGTCAAATCATAATAATCAATCTGCAGAGGGTAGCTTCTGGCACTTTCTCAGCAATTTCCACATTCTAATAAAATAGAAGGAGAATGCCTATTTATATTTTCTATAGTGCACTTATTGTTATTCTGCCCGATAACATTGACATCTAATGGTAGGATTGCTTTGATTTATAAATGTACAGGGCAACTTCTAGTAAATCTCATACACATTCTGAAATATTAGAACTGAGTCAAAGCTGAAACATTATCATTGTAACTACAAACTGCTTGAAATATGACAAAAAGCAGGTCTTATAATGAGCAAAAGGTTAAAGAAAATGTTCACATTAGATATGAAGGAATCAGTGTGAGGTACTGGTTGTGGGTGTTGTAATAACATTTGGGAAATCCACATTCATCTTTTGACTAACACATTAAACTTACTGGGTTACTTTGGGCAGGGTCTCTATTTCTTATCCTGAACTAATAAAGTAAGGGAAGGAAAAGCATGTACATTACCTTCTATCTTACTCATTAGGAAAGTGGTTCCCAACCTTTTTTTTTTTTGACCAGGAATAGTAAGCCTCTCCCCTCCCGACATCCCCATTGCATCGGCACTATAAGAAGGTTTCGTAAGACCAGTCGCTCTCGTTGCAACAGTGTAATGGTGAGGCCACTGACCATATTTTAGTTCTTGCAGACCACTGGTGGTCCACCTAGCACAGGTTGCGAACCACTGCACTAGGAGAAGGCAAGATATGAATTATATGTACATATTAAACTGAATAATAAATAATGGGACAAATTCCATATTTGCATTAACAGTAACTTAGGTTTAAAAAATAATAATGTATCTCTTTTTACCATGCTAAGAAACAGTGGCAGTTGAGCGCTTCCATGTCAGTGAATCTGTTTGGATTCTAGTCCAAATGTTGAAAGAACTATCTGAGGTGCTGAACTGGTTTGGGTGATAGAATCCAATACATTTTATAGGTTATAGGTTTATAAAGCCCAGCATAGTTTCACCACCCTATTGACCTGCAAGTTAAGAACTCTGCAAGGTAGGTGATTCTAGCAGTTAGCAACTGGCCCAGTTGTTTCAGGGCCAAGACTGAATGCAAATGATCAAGCTCAGAAACTGCTTACTATTCAGGCCGTTGGTGGCTTGCTAGCTAGTTGTTTTTATATTGTTATGTTGTGGTTTGTTTTTAATGTTTTATTATGTTGTTTTATGAATTTTAGTGTGTTATATTTTAACTATGTTGATAGGGTTGTCTCTATGTAAGCTGCCCCAAGTCCCTTCGGGAAAATGGAGGTGGGATACAAAAATAAAGTTGTTGTCATCATCATCATCATCATCATCATGTAGAAACATACAACAGTAAGCATGCAGCCTTTGCAGAGTCAGTTACTCATGAGTGATGTAGAGACATCATCTGTGTATCCATGAATGATCAGAATTTCTGGGGAGCAGCAAAACAACAAATTACCATTGTCTCACAGGAGGGTGTGATAAAATTCCTGGCCCATCATATGGCTACATGATTACCAGTGGATGTCTAGTTATCCCGGTGGGACTTTCAGCCTTACTCTCTCAAGCTGAAAGACACCGAAATACTTCAGTTGATGTGAAGTATGTTGGTGTGATTTGCTTTGTATAAATTCAGTTATCTGGCTCTGATAGCCATCCAGACATCTAAAATAGAAATAGAGTAAACATTAGATGTTTTCCTGTGAATGAGACTAAGCTATTAAAAATTAATATGGTGTTTAATGATTGGAATAATCATATTTTTAATTTTAATAATAGCTGAGGGAAAGGTTCTGGAATCTGTGTGTTATGTATTTGATGTGTGTTCGGCATCTAATCGTTGCCTGATTGTACGCCGCCCTGAGTCACCTTTGGGCTGAAAAGGGTGGGATAAAAGTGTAGAAAAATAAATATTAGTTTTTTCATAATAATTTTGATCATATATTTCATAAATATAAGACCCTACTCACCACTTTAATTCTTTTAAAGCATCTGAAAATGATCAAAATTATTCCAAATTCAGTGCACTCTTTGTTGCATTGTTAAGGGAGCAATCCTATATCCACTTACCTGAGAGTAAATGTCAATGCAACCTGACACATACAGGTTTCAGTATGTGTATTGCATCATAAATAAAATTGCAATGCAGATCTACAGTCTAAGAAAGAGAAGAAAGGAATAGCCTGAATCTATGGTGTTGTAATTCTGAATGAAGTAGAATAAACTGGAATACTAAGATTATTGTGAAGAAAGGACTACAGAGAAATTGGCCATCAGATTAATATTCTGAGCAGCTACAAAATTTTAAGAGAAATAAAATATGTTCTGTTGGTGTGTGTGATAGACTAGTATTTGATTGACATGCACATTGCCTTCATTGTTGTGTGCCTTTACATCATTTCCAACCTATAGATAACATAAGGGGAATCTATCACAAACCTATCTACACTGCCGTATAAAATATAGATTATCTGCTTTGAACTGGATTTTATGGCAGTGTAGACTGATACCATCCCGTTCAAAGCAGATAATGTGGATCATGTGATTTGATAATCCTGATTATATGGCAACACAAAGGGCTGAAAGTGTGTCATTCATTCAAGGTCACCTAAGAAAATTTGAAGAAAACGGCACTCTCTAACTTGTCACCTTCCACTAC